CTTTGTGTGAATTGCCGAACTTATGTGTGGCTTTGCATTATCATGGTGGATTACAAATCTGTAATGATTAACTAGCACTGTACCTCTGTATGTTTCTATGATAGATTCGTTTTTTTATCAGCAGTTACACTAAACAAAAATCATAGGAAAAACTCAAGTTCATTCAAACAAAGGAACAACCGCCATTTGTTACGAAAATTACGTCATAACTTTTCGTAAATACTAGAATCATTTATTCATAATATGGTAACGGGACTATTTATTTAAGGGTAAAATCTGTTGTTGCAGAAATTAAAACCTTTAATAAGAGTATATTATACATATTTCAAGGCTCCAACTACAGAGCAGACGACATTTTAATGACTGGATGAAACTTAAACTTCTGATATATCGTCTGCGAATATTAATATTTTAATTTTAAACCTTGAGTCTATTTACAAGTAATTTACGTATATTTAACTGTGGGACATACTTAATTTATAGATATAGACATTTTAAATTTATCGTCGGAATTATTTGTAATGCGGTATATAGAGCTTTAAAAGCTCGCGAGAGACACTCCTTTTAGCGTTTGCAACTTTCACATTTAATTAAAAAATAAAAGTAGTTTGGAAAAGATACGCTGCACAGTGTTCGAATTACTATTTAAATTGAATTTGCAGCTTCTAGCTGAAAGCATTTCCGGAGGGATTTAGTAATCGATGAAAGGTAATTTTCAATGATAAAATATTTAAACTAGCCTTTTCTACATTAACTAATTTTTATTCGGAATGCACTATCTATTAACAATTATATATTCATGGGATGCAGACGGTAAATTTCAATAGAATTAAAAATTAACTTCAACTTTCTGGTGTAAAATATAGTTTTTATTATGTATTTATTTAGTTTATTCTATTAATACTTTTTTTACATCTACAAAGATATTTTCCTGGAATAAAAAACGGGTATTCCATGAAAAATTATCGTGAATTACTTGAATTTCCTCTACTATTTCACTTTAACTTATTACATTCTTAAATTGTTAATTTTTTATGCATTCAAGATGGTTTGAATTTACTTAGAAGGCCTATATTATTGCTTTAATAATATTTTAAAAGTCACAAGTAAATTTTTGTTCAAACAAGTTGAATCCACAAAAGCTCATTTCCGTTCAAAATTATTAATCATATTATTTAAATGTTAAAATATGTATAATTCTAAAGAAAAGCGTTCACTTAAATTTGCTGAAACATAATCTAATAATTTTTATTTATTTGAATTCTTCCAAAGCCTACTTTGTATTTATCAAGCTATTTTAAAAACAAAGAAACAGTTTTAAATATGTTGCTTTCCTTTATTTTACAAAAAAAAAACTTATTATTTTGCATAATTGGAATATTTTTGATGTAATGCGGGAGATACAAAGCTGCTTAAATTTAAAAGACAAATCAGACTAAATACGGAGAAATACTTGTTTTTACTTATCTTGCCTTCATTAACTAACTTTAATTTAAAAGTAATAGCGATGTACAGTACACAAAGAAATAAACCTGCCACCCTGAATAACTTTTGATCCTTCTTATTGGCCAGGAAATAAATGACCCAATTTTCTCACATTAAGATTCAGATTTCTTTTTTTATCAAAGTTAAATTAATAAAAGTTATAAAAGTATTATTTATCTATAGAATATTTCATTTAGTCTGATTTAAAAGTATTAATCTGTAATAATTATTTATCTTTTTTTTTCATTTTCTCTGCTACATTTACATTTTTGATTATTCTATATTAAAAGCTAAAACGAGCTGTATGCGGTCTTTCTTTAATTGCCTTCATATTACTTCATTGCGCAACATTTTATGATTCACATTATAAACTTATGAATCATTTCAGAAATATTAAACATTAAATATAAGATACCCCGATTTTACCCCGATAATATCGAACACAAAAATCTGTGAATGTGTTAATTCAATAAAAAATTTAACATTAACCTCGTTTAAAATATTTTGAGATCTATAAAATATTTTAATTTAGATATAGAAATCTGTTTATCATCCAAAAAAATAAATAAAATGCTTAAAGGTAATTCTAGGGGTTGGCTGACGGAGCGAGCAGGAGGCAGTGCTTTTTAGTATCTACGTAAATACGAGTGTTTATTTTGAGTCGTGGCTCAAAAATGTAGAGTATTCCATTAAACACCACAATTCACGCATTCTCTGCCTATCTTTTTATGAGAAAGGAATACTAGACAATAGAAAGCACAACTGTCGTATTGAAAGTCATTGAAAATCCATCAAAAAAAGAGAACGATTTCAAAAATACCCCCCAAGTTGTTGAAAATATCTAATTAAATGCATTAAATATAAGTTTCAACAGAAATTCTGTTCGTGATAGAACACGCTCCAAATAATTTGGATGTAAAAAGTATGAACTACGTTTTGAATTAATTTTTTAAGTAATGTTATAGTTGATTTCACGTTATTTATTTTCAATTTCCGTTGCTGAAAACTTGAAACTTAAATTCGACCAGGTTAATATTTAAAATTTTACTTTAAGATTTGCCTGCAATATATTGACATAAATGCGATTAAATTATGTTGTTTTTTTTTCACTTTCTTNAATTAAAACATGTTAATTATTATTTTAAAAAGAACGTCGTGGAAACAACGATGAAACAAAATAATTCAAATATTTTTATTATTATTATTATTTCAAAAATTATATTGTGAAACAACGATTAATTAAAATAATTGAAACATGTTAATTATTATTATAAAAATTATATTGTGAAACAACGACAAAACAAACCAATTGAAAAAGTTTTAATCTTTTTTAAAAACTATATTGAAATACAACGATAAAACAAAAAAATTGAAACATTTTTATTATTATTTTAAAAAATTATATTGTAAAACAACGATTAATTAAAACATGTTAATTATTATTTTAAAAAGAACGTCGTGGAAACAACGATGAAACAAAATAATTCAAATATTTTTATTATTATTATTATTTCAAAAATTATATTGTGAAACAACGATTAATTAAAATAATTGAAACATGTTAATTATTATTATAAAAATTATATTGTGAAACAACGACAAAACAAACCAATTGAAAAAGTTTTAATCTTTTTTAAAAACTATATTGAAATACAACGATAAAACAAAAAAATTGAAACATTTTTATTATTATTTTAAAAAATTATATTGTAAAACAACGATTAATTAAAACATGTTAATTATTATTTTAAAAAGAACGTCGTGGAAACAACGATGAAACAAAATAATTCAAATATTTTTATTATTATTATTATTTCAAAAATTATATTGTGAAACAACGATTAATTAAAATAATTGAAACATGTTAATTATTATTATAAAAATTATATTGTGAAACAACGACAAAACAAACCAATTGAAAAAGTTTTAATCTTTTTTAAAAACTATATTGAAATACAACGATAAAACAAAAAAATTGAAACATTTTTATTATTATTTTAAAAAATTATATTGTAAAACAACGATTAATTAAAACATGTTAATTATTATTTTAAAAAGAACGTCGTGGAAACAACGATGAAACAAAATAATTCAAATATTTTTATTATTATTATTATTTCAAAAATTATATTGTGAAACAACGATTAATTAAAATAATTGAAACATGTTAATTATTATTATAAAAATTATATTGTGAAACAACGACAAAACAAACCAATTGAAAAAGTTTTAATCTTTTTTAAAAACTATATTGAAATACAACGATAAAACAAAAAAATTGAAACATTTTTATTATTATTTTAAAAAATTATATTGTAAAACAACGATTAATTAAAACATGTTAATTATTATTTTAAAAAGAACGTCGTGGAAACAACGATGAAACAAAATAATTCAAATATTTTTATTATTATTATTATTTCAAAAATTATATTGTGAAACAACGATTAATTAAAATAATTGAAACATGTTAATTATTATTATAAAAATTATATTGTGAAACAACGACAAAACAAACCAATTGAAAAAGTTTTAATCTTTTTTAAAAACTATATTGAAATACAACGATAAAACAAAAAAATTGAAACATTTTTATTATTATTTTAAAAAATTATATTGTAAAACAACGATTAATTAAAACATGTTAATTATTATTTTAAAAAGAACGTCGTGGAAACAACGATGAAACAAAATAATTCAAATATTTTTATTATTATTATTATTTCAAAAATTATATTGTGAAACAACGATTAATTAAAATAATTGAAACATGTTAATTATTATTATAAAAATTATATTGTGAAACAACGACAAAACAAACCAATTGAAAAAGTTTTAATCTTTTTTAAAAACTATATTGAAATACAACGATAAAACAAAAAAATTGAAACATTTTTATTATTATTTTAAAAAATTATATTGTAAAACAACGATTAATTAAAACATGTTAATTATTATTTTAAAAAGAACGTCGTGGAAACAACGATGAAACAAAATAATTCAAATATTTTTATTATTATTATTTCAAAAATTATATTGTGAAACAATAACTAAACTGAGTAATTAAAACATTTTTTATTATTGTTTTAAAAATCAAAAATTTTATGAACATTAACATTTTGTAAAGAGAAAAAATTCAATATTTTTCTAAACTTGTATTCGAACTATATTACAGGTCAGCAACTATATCTTTAAAAAAATTAGAAAAGAAAAAAAAAATATTCGGATGTCATATTAGGATTCGATTTATGTGAAACAGGAAAGACCGGCTCTAGGTATCAAATTAAACGGGATCATTTTGAAAAGCCGGAAACAAACAACAGATTGTTCGTTTCCGATAAAGAAAATAAAAGAGGGGAGAAATAAAATTAAATAAACTCCCCCACTATAAAACCTTACATCCCCCACCACTATCGACCTTCTATGTCGACAACTGTTGACTGCACGCAACATATGGCTTAGCGGTCTGACAGGTGTTATAAAATATCATTAACAATTAAAGTAAAAGTACTCACCCTTATAAAGGTACTAGGTACTTAAAATAATTTCATGAACTGTTCATAAGAAATAAGAGGGTGAATTATCAAATTCATTCTTTATTTTTTCATTTCAAATCGAATGATTAACTGTTTTTTTATCGTCACTTTCGAATGGACATTGCATTCACGGAGATCTTCGCCCTCGACATCATCGCATGCTGACGACTCAATGCCCTATAGCGCCATCTGACGGGTAACTGATAAATCTTAGACAAATTTATAATCAATGATGGATGAAAGCTTATAAATGATGGAGATGGAATTTCCTTGCACGAAGGAGCTCTTTTTTTTTACTATTCAGGAAAGAGATAAATTATTTCAAAGTGATAAAAATGAAAATTGAAGAATTACAATAAGCTTGCGCGGACAGAATGATATGAAAATATACTTTTTTTCTTTTTCTTTTTTTTAATTTTATTATGAAGTGAATTTTTTAGCGTCGTTGTAAACTTTGTTTAATATTTAATGTACTGCCAGTTATTATAGTTGAATATTTGAGTTGAAAAATATAAAAAAAAGTGAAAATTATAGAATTTCTATCTTGACTATCAACTTATAGTTACGGGCTATTCTCCAGAAAATGTGTTATTTGCCTTTCTTCAATTTATTTTCTTCACAAACATCTTTTTTTAAATGTCGAAACAATGCAATTATAATTTTTAATTAAATTGATATTATCATAAATATTGCAATTAACTGATAAATTTGAATCTGTAAAATGTCACTTCCCCTCTATCCCTTGTCCCTTTGTCACTGATATTCCTGTTAAAGTTAACTTTTAAGATAACAAACATGACAAACGTGCCAAAATTAAGATATATATATATCTATATATATAAATATATTACTTGCATGTATTTATATATTCCCAATACTACAGAAAAATACTCTTGCTCGGTTTACTTGTCACTATCTGTCATTACTAATATTCTTAAATGGACACTGAAAATGTTACTCCTTAAACGTTGCTCAAAGTGTAACTCAAAATGTCACTCTTGAATGTTACTCAAAATGTAACTCAAAAATATGACACAAAAGTGTTAGCCTTGAACGTTACTCTAAATATCACTCAAAAATGTTACTTTTGAACGTTACTCTAAATGTAACTCAAAAATTTTACTCTTAAACGTTATTTTAATTGCAATTCAAAAATGTTACTCTTGGACCTTACTCAAAAAGTAATTACTCTTGAAAGCTACTCAAAGTAAGTGAAAAATTTTACTTTGACCGTTACTCAAAATGTAACTCAATGTTACTCTTCGACGTTACTCTACACGTGACTCAAAATGTTACTCTTGGATTCATGATACTTTAAGTTATCATCCACATTTTATTGCGAAACGAGATTTTAATGGCTCTTATAAACTTAATTAATATGTATTATGTTAAACAGTTATTAATACTAAACATATTTTTTGTATGTTTAAAAAAAAATTATTCGAAAGAGGAAAATAGTAGAATTACAATCTTTCCGCACGAAATTAATGATCAACGTATGAATATATATTCCATATTGTAAACTGACTTTTCGGAAAACGGTTTCAACTTTATATATAAAAAATGTTAAAACTATTCGAATTGTAAAATATTCTAAGATATAAATTGTTTAATCAGTGGAAGAATTGTAATTAAAAAGTTATAGCTTTACACACCAAAAATAAAAAATTTAAAAATAATTTTTTTTGAATTTATTAATGCAATTTTGTTTTTTATAAATTAGCAAAATATTGAAACTTAAATTTTTAAAATCGTCTGTTTGGAAAGCGCTTTATTTAGAAGAAAAGTGGAAGCACACTAGAAGATAAGTGGAAAAAGCCCCATTTTATAAGTTGGTTTAAATTATTTATATCCAATGGTGATCAACACCTATGTTCTTTATATTTTTCATATGAATATTTTATCATGAAAAAGATGCTAGACTAATGCACTACTTATAAACAGCTATAGAATTCATATTTATGTCAGAGCTCAGAGTTTTCGAAAAAGACAAATTACTGGTAGTAAGAACCTTTCATTTTAACTCCTTTTTTTTCTGGAGGATTAAATTTTTTTATCTATCACTTTTTGTTAACTGTTATAATTGTACTGTGAACAAAAAAAAGGAAAGAAAACGGTCCATTTTATATAACGTTTGATCTTATAATCGAACCTTCACGTTCTAGAACTCAATCTTAATGGTTCGAAGGAGTGACCTCCAATATGCTAATTAATTAGTACTTACTATATTTTAAGTTACAAAACCTGACACAAAACTTGCTTTCTCTGAAATAAAGATGTATTTTTTCGACATATTCGAAATTCGGATATAGGGGGTAGCCGCAATCTGGGAAATATGGTCCCCATAGCTTATTCAGGAAAGGGATCCAAAGTTTCGACAATGTTAATGTTAACAAAAGTTTAATGCTAATTTTACTTTTTGCGTATTTCGCCGTATCTCGAGAGCTTTATAAACGAATTTTAAAATTTTTGCCCACAATTATGAAATTCGTTTATCTAAAAATAATTCCATGCAAAATATAATTTTTAGTAAGTATTTATTATTTTTCATCATTTAATTTAATGATAGTCGAAAATGTTTTTGAATTTTTAGGTATAGAATTTCTTTTTACATCATTTTAAAGAATATAATTTAAAATGGCAAAATGCAAAATTTGGGCGAAATTGGTCGAGTAATTTCTGATAAATCAAATTTTATAGATATGACTTTTTCAAAATAAATTTAAAAAAACCGTGATTTACCTACGAACACGTCATCGTAGTTAATTCCGTAGTTAAATAGTAACATAATAGTTTAACAAGGTGCATGCGTTCCAGCTTGTCGCAAGTATCTGGCCCTTGTTAGCAAACGTTCTACAAGTTTCAATTTTCTTAAATTGCCGAATAAATTTAATTTAAATGATCGGTTCCTTAATTATCTGTGAACTAACATTTCTATTAAGCTTTTCAACTCTTGTATCATCTGTATTTTGGTGTGACATATTTTCTTTCAGTTTATCTCCTGTTGCATGTTCTAATTGACAGTTAAGTTACAATTTTAAGGAGATATATTTTTTCCAAAGCTCAAACACGCATTTATCCTAAATTATTTTAAATTTAAAAAGAAAAAAAATTAATACCACTCTAAATAAAAAATAAAACTCTAAATACAAATGAAAATTACTGTTGCCAGTAGGATAGGCTATCTACCGACACTAAATCAATTACCAATTTCTCAATTTTAAAGTAATTGCATGATTAATATATTACAATGTAAAAAAAAATTTATGTATTGTGCCTTAACAAGAATGCATGATTCGGTTGAAGTCGATTCAACTGAAACTGGTAGTAATACCATTTCATTTATTATAAAATAAAGTCTAGCTTGATTTCGTATAGATTGGTTTATCTAAATTTTTTTCTGGTAAGTTAGCAGTCCTATACGTGTGTTTCAATTCAAAATTCTTGTAGTATTTACTTAACCCTTTGGGGACGGTTGATTCAGAAAAGCATTCGTACAAAATCAGAATCAAGTTGTAATTAAATAAAAAAAAAACGGTAACTTAAATGTAGTCGTTGCTAATTTGACAGACCTACTTTGCTTTTACTTCAATTATTGTTAGTTTAATCATACTATATAATCAATGTTAATTCAAAGTAAAACTAAATAGTTTTATTTTGAACAAAGTAATGGTGAATTAAATAAATCAAACAATTATAACTCCGCCCACAAATACTCTGCTAAAAAATTACTTTGATTACCAGTTTTATCTTTTTACCGTGATTCATACAGTTTTATGCTGGCACTTATTTTTATCAGTCGGACCGAAATGGCATATGCTAGTTATATAACCAGCATCAATTTATTTAATAAATCCTAAGGAAGTATTGGAGATACTTGAGTAGAACCTATGTTTATGAGTATTTTAAACTTTAACTAAAAAAGTGGTACTACAATTTTTATTTATTTATATTTTAATTATATTGTTAAAAGTATGCCTCCTGTACGAAACTTTTTATTTAAGGTTTAATGTGATATCGTGTTTTGTTGAACTTTTGGAATTAGCATTAAAAAAAGAGTAGACAGTATATATATCCTCTTCGATTTTTAACCATTTTCTTTCAAAAGTACAAACACAAAACAAAATCGGGATCAAGAATTTTTGTAATAAAAATGTATTAATTAATTTAGAATGACACTATAAATTTAAAGTCCCACATTCTAACCCATTGAATTTAAAACTATAGAACTGCATCTCAAACTAAACCTTCTTCTCCGCCACATAATGTTTCACAAACTTGCTGCCACACTCGCTTCGCATTCGCATAACCAAAACTCGAAAGCAATTGGATTGAAAAAGATGAAATTTCGCTCTTTTTTAACCCTTTCGAGGCCAACTGTCACAAGTACGAGACTGTATCAACCAGGGTAAAAAGATAAAACTGGTAATCAAAGTAATTCGTTAGCAGTTTATTTGTGGGCGGAGTTATAATTGTTTGATTTATTTAATTCACCATTGCTTTGTTCAAAATAAAACTATTTAGTTATACTTTGATCTAACATTGATTATATATATGATTAAACCAACAATAATTGAAGTAAAAGCAAAGTAAGTCTGTCAAATTAGCAACGACTGCATTTAAGTTACCGTTTTTTATTTAATTACAGCTTGATCCTGATTTTGTACGAATGCTTTTCTGAATCACCCGTCCCCAAGGGGTTAAAGAAATTTTGGAGGAACATTCAGATAAGTTGTACCGGATGCGGTTACTAATTTAAGTTATGGTCCAAACTAAGATATGGTCTTAACTAAATTTGCTTGTGGTCTTAACTAAAATGTTTATGAAGAGAGCTGAAATTCTTAGTCGCGAAAGTCAAAGTATTAGTTTTGCACCTACAGAATTGAAGAACAAAAAATTCTAATGGTAGCAATGGTTACGTGTTAATGTTTCGGTAAAACATGTATTGGAAGTAATATATAAATTAATATATAATAGAAATTTATGTCTATAGAAATTAATATGTAATGAATTAAAATTACTTGCAATAGAAATAAATAAATTTATCGAAATTAATGTAATGAAATAAATTAATATATAATAAAAATGTGATGGCTTTATCTAAAACTATATTTTTTATTTTATATTATAACCGTCGTTGAACAGCCGACCCAATTTTATGAGTTTACGACTACTAATGTTCAAC